ACACACACACACACACACACACACACACACACACCACACACACACACACACACGCGCGTTACCCTGCGACGCAGTGGTCCCCTCTGCATCAACTGACCAAAGCAGCTGGCCCAAATTAAAAGCTTTTCTCCACATCATCTTGTTAGGGATGCCCAACTGGGAGCCGATCCGCGCGACGGGGTGCAGTGTAGATGATCGTGATCGAGGCCGCAAGGCTTGCCTCGTCGCCGTCGCCGTCCCCGTCATCTTCGCATCCACGGCGATACCCTCCGTGGCCATTCTGGCTCACCTCTGATTTCCACGTTCCAGTACCGATTGTCAGCCAATGGCGAAAAGCGGAGCACCTTGTCTGGGCTCCGCGACCTGGCAGGTGAATTCAGCACGCCAGTGAACCGTCGCAATGTCGACCTCTCGAGCGCGGGCTTCGATGCTTTACGCGCCAATGGATGTTGCCTGGCCCGCGCAAGACCAACGACGGCGCGCCAATGACACGCGGTCCAACCACCGCTCCGTTCCCATCCCGCCGGTGTCTGGAGCTCAGGGCGCGTGACTCGGCACAGGCACCGCAGGCACTTCAAATAATAAGGTGCAGGCATCGCCCCGTCATGGCGGCGCTATGGCGCGCACCGCGGGCGCCGTCGCTTCATCGGCGCAGGCGCTGCTCATGACTGGGCACAGGCACCGCCGGCGCGTCAAACCATACGGTGCAGGCCTCGCCTCGCCATCCAGTTGTCAGCGCAGGCACCTGGGAAGCAATCGACTTATCCGCGCGGGCGCTGGGCGCGGCTGGGCGGGGGCGCCGCGGGGGCCTCAAATACCAGGGCGCAGGCACCTCCTCGCCATCGCGCTGTTAGCGCAGGCGCCGCGGGCATTGGCGTTTAGCAGCGCAGGCACCGCACGATGTAAAGTGCAGGCGCATCCGGCACGCCAAATTCACATTATAAAGTGAGGGCGTCGCCCTGTCGTCGCAGGCACCTGCGTAGGCATGCAGGACCTTGTTTTCATCGGCACAGGCACGCCACCCCGCTTCGGGTTGTAGGATTATCCGCCACCGTGCCCACTGGCACGTTGAAGCGTGGAATAATGCGGAGGTCTGCCTGGTAGGGTTTCTGTTTAAGTCCACTAT